GACAACTTAAACAACCTCTTGGAATCAGGATTTGCCAAATTACCGCATATTTCATGGCTCTCAACAAACTCATAGACACATGTCAACCATAGGCCCAAACTTTTAATTATAGGGAATGCTAGGATGGATAATTAGAAGGAATACTTTCAAAACTTACTCGAGCAGAATAGAGTAATGCGATCAGTTGTAACTGCTAATAAAATTTAAAATAATCAACAATAGGACAGTAATAAAAATATGAGTTGATAAAGGCCCGGTGTACCTTGAAAGTCTCATCTACATCGAATCGACGAGTCCGCCTTTCATGTTCAGTGGTAGCAAAGTAACTTATTTGTCATAGCTATGAAGACTAAGATGTTACGGTCTTTTTTGGTCGCAGTCTTTTCAAACATGTTACAACAAGGTAAGACAAAGTCTTACTTATTTTCATTTTGAGTAGTTAGGCAGAATAGCCGAAAGAGAATCAACTCCACGATCCCACAATGCGCTTCATAGCAGGGTCATGTCACAGTGGTTTATGAGCTTGGCAACACCAACCTGCAACGCCAAATTCAGTTGACAAGTCTGGCAGTTGCTGCTTAACTAAAGTGTCTACATTACAACCTAATACACAACCATAGTTATGTGAAATTGGCTAGTTTTGCACAGCCAGATTAAGGCTAAAACAAATTCATTCGAAGTAGATATCTACTGTCAATTTGAAAAGGTATAATTAACGATGTAGAAATAATTTATTCGTGGGCGAAACTAAATCACCTCTATTCCTCGTTTTGTACTTCAGATTATGTCCCATGGAGCAACATCTAAACTTTTATATATGTGAAGATACATATAATAAAACTGGTTTACTCATAATCGTGAAACCCTCTTAATACAACTAAAAATATAATGTCGTCGATTGTTATAGCAAGTATAACTTCGCTTCATCGACAATCCCGGCCTTCCTTGAAATTCACATATTCCTCGTGACTAAAGGGCAGTCATGGTAATGTGGTGTAGTGGTTAACGTGTCGGGATTACACGCTATGCTGTCATGATTCGACCTCTGCTGGGTGTGTTGATTAGATCCAGGTGAAGTCGAAACCGCCATTTCCTCTGGATGAGAACACCTTTTGAAAAAGCAAGCTATGCGCAGTTCGAGGAAAGCGTCAGCTCTACTCATATCATTGTGGGAAAATTCAACTACCAGTCCTTCCTCAACTTAAACAAAAATTGGGTGATATATCTCATAAAGCTGATTTAATGGTAGCCTCGAAACCCAACTTATAAAGTCTTTATTCACTCATCCAACTTCTTCTTCTTCTCATTCTCTCCTCCTTCTTATACTTCATCTCCTTTTTATTCTTCCCATTCTCCTTATTTTCCTTCCCTTTATTATCTTCATTCTCCTCCTTCTATTTCACCTCTTTCTTCCTCTTTCCCTGCTTATTCTTCTTCCTCCCTCTTTTTCTTCTTTTTCTCTTTCTTCTTTTTCTACTTCTTCTTTATCACCTCATTATTGACCTTCTCCTAGTTCTATTTTCCTTATTCTTCTTTTCCTTCTACTCCTTATCTTTG